TTAATTTATTATGGTATAAATCCTGATAATAGGTATTCTGTGTAAAATTATGGTAGTTGAAGATTGCTATAATTTTTTATTTTTAATTACGAAATTATTATTGTTATTATATTAAAGCTGCCTGGTAATCGGTGTTTATTCTCATGGTTACATATGGAAATTATATCTGTTCATATTGTTTTAAGGTATTAAATATGCTGGGGGAGTAATAAAGATTGTAGTGGATTATATGTTAATAGTGGGTGTGATGTGTAAGTGATAGTGCTGTGTGTTGGTTGTATATTGTGTTCGTAATTTGGCAATTTCCCTGGAGTGGACATGTTGTTCTGTTTCTGCAGTTGCATATTGGATCCTTGGTTTACATTTTTGTAGGTTGTCATTTTTTGTTTTGGCTTTTGATTATTTCTGTTATGTTTTTGTACAGCTGTAACTGATCTTTACGTTATTTTTTTGTTAAATATTTTTGATAATTTGTTTTCTTCAGTGAAGTGTTTTTCTATTAAGTTTAGGAATATTTTGCCTATGTTCGTTTTAACAGTTTTGTTATATGGTGGGTTAAACCAGATAATGTTTCTCTTTCTGTTTCTGCGTTTTGGCTGTGGAGGTATATATTGTAGTTGTTGTGTGTAACCACTTGCTTTTAGTGCTTCGTTGTATGGTGCTATTTTGCTATTGAAAATTTGCATGTTAGATGAGTTCTCAGATATCTGCGGCTGATTGATTTTGGTATTTGTTTGATGATAGAAGGTGGATGGTTGGAGGATGTGGGTACGTAAGTTGGTGTGTCATTTTCTTTTTTGTATAGTTCATATGTGTTGCTGATCAGGTTAAGAGTGATGTCAAGGAAGTTTACTATAGTTGTGCCTGTATTTATCCCTATTTTGAATCCAATGTTTTTTAGGGCGTTCACTATTTTCTTCCTGAATTTTCTACTTTGGGGCCATTGGATCCCCTTATTAAGATAAGACCGTCATCTCTGTATAATCCTGTGTCCTTTCTCTCCAGGATTCTGGCCAGGTATGATAGGATGAGTATGCCTACTAATTCGCATTTTATGCTCCATCGTAGCTACCCATTGTTACGTCAAACAGGTTGTGGTTTTGTTTCTTTGCCCATGGTTCATTGTTGTGGAACAGCAGGGATTTGCGGCAATGCTTGATTATTTTTATATCACCGTCCGTGAGTTTTACATTTAGCTGTGCCAGTTGTATGGCTTCATTTAATATGCTTTCTGTAATGGAAGGATAAAAATCCACAATGTCAAATGGCGCTTTCTAATAAGTACCGCGCATATAATATATAAATAATTATACATATATATATTTATTTATATTTATATACACTTTTCACACACACACACACACACACACACACACACATATATATATATATATATATATATATATATATATATATAGATAGATAGATAGATAGATATACGTATATATATATATATATACCATTATTATATTATCTATCTATCTATATATATATATATATATATATATATATAATCATTTATTTGAACCTAATTTATTATAACATAATAAACCTAATTTACTTTAACATGAAATGTTATAAAATCAATACAAAAATAGCCATTTTGTATCAAAACTTCTGGTGTCTTATGAAGTGATGACGTTATCACTTGATAAGACACCAGAAGTGTTGAAACAAAATGGCTATTTTTGTAGTCATTTTATAAAATTTTCTCTTATAATTTTCGAATAAATGATTATACTTGCTCTACTCTTTTAAGAATAGTAACTCTTGGTTATTGGAATTTATTCCGTATACACCAATCCCATACTTGGGTATAAAAATATATATATATATATATATATATATATATATATATATATATATATATATATATTAAAGTGTAGGTGAACGAACAGTAGGAATACAGCGTTCAAAATTATATTACTCGAATTATTTTTCTACCTGACAATGTTTTATCCCAAAATAAAATGAAGGATAAAAAAATAGCAAAAGATATCTAATACACTAACATTTACTTTAAACATCTACCTAAGGAACATAGGAGACCGTTGAAGTTCAAATTCTACATTCCAACCAAATTCTATGGCCAGATTTTATCTCTTCTTAGCATTTATCACCTCTTCTTCACCCCATGGCCTCTTTCTTTCTTTTGTCTTTCCCCATTTTTTCCGTTCCTTTTCGTTTGTCCGCGACTATGTAATGAATTAGATTCCCTACCATCTCTACATGGAAATTCTAGAAGATATTATATGAAAATTTCCAAAGAACGGAAGTGGGTGATATTTGTTTCGATAACTGTATTTCTGAATAAAAATTTTAGTAACATTCTGATTCCCCACCTGATGAGACGTCTAAGAAAGTTTTTCCCTTTTTTTGATGTTGAAACAAAATGTACAATTTTGTAGTGGATATGTGCATGTTCTAGTGTAACACTGCATAATATATATATATATATATATATATATATATATATATATATATATATATATATATGTGT